ATAGCCCCCCCCCCCCCCCCCCCCCCCGAAAATAGTTAACCTACCCATCAGGTTTATTTGCACAGTTCCTTATTCTCATTGAAACCAATGTCTATAAAGGTCTTTCTGGGTCACTAGATCCAGCCCCCCTCAGTGCAAGCTGTGTATAAAGTGATCAAGCTTTACTCCCACAGCCTTTGAAGATTGGTGAGCCCGCTGCAAGCGAAAACTGCCAACACATCCCAGCTTTTTCAGGTCAGAGTGAAACAATCAATCGTCAAGGAAAAAAAGCCCTTCAAAAATGCCTTGTCAGTGTTTTGTCTCTGATGTGTTGTTCAGTTTTTTGGTTTGGTTTTTTTTTTTGCTTGTTTTTTATTTTAGTGCTTGAATTCTAGCCCAACCAGAAAAGCTTATTCTAATTGTACTGCTGTATAAGAAACAAGATTTACTAAAAACGATGAGCTTCGGGCACTGTAGAAATTAACAGCTAGCCTGCCATTACCATGTATCCCCAGACAGATAGGCTACTTAAAGCCTAAGCTGCATAAGGCAGTTTGCTTGCTTTGTTGTCCGCAGACGTTGGAGGTTGTTTCTGGTGTCCTGTGTATGCTTTAGGCGAGACTTGTTTTATTCTAAGACTTGACAAATCTCCAGGATTTCCATGTTTCCTCCAGAGGTACTGAAAACTTAGTTGCGACTTAATATTTCTTGCGTACTGATTTGCTGGGTTAATAGTTTTGGGTTTAGGTTGTTTTGAAAGGACGTATTGCAGATCAGTGTGGGAGGGACTGGAAAAATAGGATCTATACTGTTCGTGTAAATATCTCAAAAGAAAATAATTTCATTCAGTGTTGTAGTGGTAACACCTGCATGTGGGAGCAAAAAGTCAACTATCTTCCCCTGAAAGTGTCTTATAGCATGTAAATTGGTTTATGACATCCAGCCAAAGACTTCAACTTTTCTACTCTCTCGTTGGTCTAGGTAGAGCTACCAAGTTAAATTGCTCTTTTGCGGACTATATAAACTTAACTTTAAAGTTGGAGTTGCACTCTATTAAATATAGAAGGCAGCTAATAGATAAACTCCATATGGCTGTAGTTTTGACTGTGAATGCTTCCAACTTGCAGATCTCTAGTTATTATCAGCACTTTGGATGGACGAATTGCTGCACTGGATCCAGAAAACAGTGGGAGAAAACAGTGGGATCTGGATGTGGGATCAGGTTCTCTTGTGTCATCCAGTCTCAGTAAACCAGAGGTAAGGCTAAAGCTCTTTCCTGACTAAGTCTTTAAAACCAGAATTTTCTGTAATAAAATGAAGGCAACTTTCTCTGTATTTGATAGATGTTAAATAACGCAGCAAAGTTAGTATGGATAAAGTTTAACGGCTATTCTCAAACTTTTATTTGGAGTGCTTACATCATGTTGCCATTTCAAACTAGAGTGTGTCAGCATTTTAGTCTTGCAATTGACGTATGTGATAACTATCAAACTAGATGATGTAACTGAGTTTGGGAATTGTATGTAATTGCTGATTGAAAACAAGTTACTTGTAATTTGAAGCAAATGAAAGGATCATCTGCTTTGTATTACTAGAGTGTGTTTTGGCAAGTAGTGGCTGTGTCTTTTTTTCCCCCCTTAAGAAAAGCAAAAGTCCTTGTGACTTAATGAAGAAAGAATTGGGGTTTTTTATCCCAGATAAGCAGGCTGCCTATGAAATAGAATGTGTTAGCAATGAAATAGTGCTGAAGGTCACCCTGAAGTACTGAGCGGTAAAGGGTTGCATCACTTCTTGCTGATGAACTGTAAGAAGGAAATCTAAAGAATTAAATTTCTTGTTTGGTGCTATTTCCACCATCAGTTTGAATAAACTTAGGCTAGAAATTAGAAGGAAGTTTTTTGCCTTTTTTTTTTTTTTCTGCACTGAAAAAGTGAGAACCATGAGTCATTCTCTCCTAGGATTAGGAGGAATAAATATACCAACTAAGAGGTACTTTGTGGTGATGACAAAGTGCACGGTCCTTCTCTGTCGTGGATCGTTGGATTTGATGACCGGTCCTATATCGTGCTTTTGCATGACGAGCATTGGAGAATGAAAGTTGAATTCAGGGGTATTCGGACTGTATATGCTTCCTGCTTGTGGTTCTTTGCTGTTGTCTGTTTACATGACCTCTGTTTTGGTATAAAGAAGTCTAAGGAAAGATTTGGTCTGTTGCTGTGGTAGTGTAAGTATGAGAGCTAGTAATAGGTATCTTGGATTGCAAAAGTAATGTGAGTGTTAACTCATGTTACTTTGTTTCTGAGAAAAAATTTTATTTATGGATGCAACTTCGAGAGTTGTTCAGATGTATTTTTGTGTTTAAGAAAAAACACTGTAGGAAAGAAGAACTTCCCCAAAAAGATATGTTCTAGAGCAGAATTGAAAAGAATACAAAAACTGTAAAGAGCTCTGTAAAGAGGAAGGTGTCAGTTATAAACTGTGGTCTTTCACAAATGTTTTCAATGCTAATACTTAAAAAAATTGGTCCGTTATCTGTTGCTGCAAATAGTTTCTGATGACCACAGTGAAAATAGAACCACTGGTTATAAAACACACATTTGAAATCTGTGCAAATATAAACTTCATTTTTCACTACAAATTAAGACATGAGCCCAGGTTTTAAAAGATTTCAAGAATGCAAGCATTTAATACTATAGAAGTGGTTTTGCAAATCTAGATTTTGTCACTCAACTGATCTGTCCAGAGTTTTGATCTTTTTCCAATGTGGTATGACTGTAGAAACTAAAGGTTGGTGCTTAGACAACAGAAATTGTAGTTTGTCCGTGCAATATTTAATTCCCTTTTGTGGCTACAAGTTAGTAGGTTGTGGGTGTCATAAGAATACACTTTTAAAGAGCGTTTGTTATGCATATAGAAAGTTTTCAGATGGATTTTCAAATTTTTTCATTTCTACAACTGTGGCCAAAGACACTGATGGATTTTGGCAGTTAAGATGCAGAGCCTGTGAGAGAACTAATTTTGGAAGTAAAACTTCATTCTGGCCTTTTAGAAGCCGTTAAGTGTTATGAATATAGACTTACTGTCATGTAAACAAATGCTGTTAAGATAAGACAGAATTTAACAAGAAACAAAAGTGATGAATACTCCAAATAAGCTACACTTAAACATTTAAATATTTAAATGTTTAAAATAAATATTTAAATGTTTAATCTGCTGTCATTATCAGCTGGAAGACTTCATGCAGTGAATCTAGACACTACTTGAGTGAGTAATTGGCCTCATTAAAATTGTTGGGACAATTTTGGTTTGGGTCAAAATATTAAATTTATTGAAGTCTCAGAGTCTGTCATCTCCCCACTCTACAGTATTTCCTTTCTGATCTGGGCATGTGGCATGTTGAGTTTTACCCTCTCAAACTATTGAGGCTTTTTCTTCCTCTTCCAACATTTTGAGGTGAAAAAGGTCTCTGTGCTTTCAACCACAGTATTATCTTCATTATAGAACAATATCATTATGTAAGCTGTTAACATACATCTTGCAAGAAGTGGCAGATGAGAAACTTTTTGTGTTACACTTGCAGTGTTAAAAGGTTTGTGTTCTTTCAGAGTGAGGAAAGCGTGTGCTGCTGTGTCTCAATTGTTTTGATGAGGTTTTTTTAGCTATCTTGGGTGAGAGTGCAGTGAACTGTAGTTCCAGGTCCTGGTGCGAAAGCATCAATTTAATTTCCAAGTGCCTTTTAAGAAAAGACATTAGATCTTCAAACTTTCAGTGTTTAATAGAACTGTAGTTACTTCATTTGCCTAACTGTAAGATGTGAACTTGGCTGTCTGGAGCTCATGTGTTAATTAGGAAAGTGAGGTAGTAAAATTTCAAATGTTCCAGCAGCTCTGTCAAACACTTCAGATCTTGAAACTACTGCTTAAGACACTGACAAGTGAGATGTTCATCATTTGTCATGTGAACGGATCAATTAGAAAGGAAAGGCTGCTGAACTACTGATTGTGTGTCTGGGTAACTAAAATGGTAAAATTCATTCCTTGGCTCTAAACTCCAACATAAACAATCATGGTCAGGGTGCCAATGCTGAAAAGGTATGACTTCGCATTTTGGTCTTGCGTATAAGAATTTAAAAACTTTGTTTCCCTGTCCATTGTGTTAAAATGAAAAGCCCTTCTCTATAAAAGCTGTATGTTTACAACTCCAAGATTTCTTGTTACTTGCACATAAAGATTGCCTGTTGAAGTTCAGGGTAAGGTCATTGAATTTCAACTTTTCTAAAAGGGAGCTTACTTTTAATGAAAACACTTTAATTTACTCTTTAAAATTTAGCTTTGTAATGAATGTATCGTCTGTACTTAGACAAAAGAGAATACTTTTGGGAGAATCAGCCTTTTAAAATAATGATGCTTAATCATAGTGAAAATAGAGAACTGCCTCTCAAGCAGTGGAAATGGTTCATAGCCCATCATTATGAGACTGTTGTCATTTACTAATGAGGGTGATGTGTTCTTGTACCTTCACACCTTTGTACTAAATTACTTAATGGGCTTCTGCATCTTTCTTTTATGAGAATCTATTAATGAAAGAAATGAAAGCGTGAGCTTGCCTATATATTCAAAAGACTGGCCAATGGTGGCTAGCATGACTGATGGGACAGTGGGAGCCTGGAGAAGAGACGGAGACAGAAAAAAAAGCCTACTGTGGGCTGGATAAATGGTAGAGATACTCCTGTGAAAAAGCTGGTAGCTGATGTTTGATGGGAAAGGGGAGAATAAGTGGGAGACTTGGTGGTGATGATGTGAGACTAACAGCTTAAAAATACATTGACGACTGTGACGCAGTTTTTCTTTGCACTGTCAGGAATGCTGCAGGGAGTTCAGCCTGACAGGGCAGCTCCAGCTGTAGTAGTTTCAGTGCTCTGACCAGATGCTACACTGGGATGTACTCGATAAAAGTAACTGTATTGGCTCATGATTTGGCTGTTACAGACTAATCCCTAAGTAAGCATCTTATTTCCTTATTTGAGAGACTGGGAATCATGGGACAAAATGAGTTTCAGTCCACAAGGCTGACATTTATAGCAGTCATAGTAAACATACCACTGTATCCTGGAAAAATGAAATAATTGGCTTATGCTGTGTCACAAAATCTGTCAACATTCTTATCCCTCTAAAGGGTCTCAGTGTCTTTGAATTGCATTGTATATATTTTAAATTCTTACCATTTTTTATTGTGATAGCCACATAAAATAAACTTTCTACAAACATCTGTGTGATCTTTTTTGGACATAAAAATGGCAGGTTTTTGTGGAATAGCCCAGTATTATATTTTTTTCCTCCAGAGAAATGTGGAGATGCGAAGTTTTATACTGAAGTCAGCTGAAAACTAATTGCATTGTAGGCAAAGTGAACCCATACATATCTTTAGCAGATTGTTCCTTTTTTGCCCTTTGGAGAGGATAGACTGATGCTTAGAGCAGTGAGTTGGGAGAGGATTTTTGAAATCTCCAAGGCTCTACTAGTGACAGGATTTAATGTACAGTATGAATGTATCTTTTTTTTGTTTGTTTCTTTTTTTTCCTTCCCTTTACCTGCATTATAAACACATTCAAATTTTCAGTGCTTTGGTTCCCCAAAAGAAATACTAAGTTCCAGGCACCTGGGAATCACTTTAAGGTACTGACTGCCTGCACTTCCCCGCACATTGGAAAAGGTAATCTCTGTACCTAGTCAAGCCCGAGAAGAGCCAAAAGCTGTCCTGGGTTGCTTTGGGAATGCAGGAAGAAATTCAGCAGCTCTCATCCTTTGGCCTCTTACGCTGTGGTGTAGAAGAAATTGCAAAACCCACACTGAAGAAGGTCGGAGCAAGACAAGAGGTCAAAACGCCTTCTGAGGGGCTTAAATCGTGGTTTCTGGATTCTTTTATGTGCCCTCCCAGAGATTAGGGGAGAGTAAATAATTTAACAGTCTCTGAATCTTGTGACATCAGGTTTAGGACAATCATACCCACCACTTAGGGCACCCCTGCAGCAGCATTTTATTAGCCTGGATAAAAATGAGGTTTTTGTTTGGTCCATGGCTTTCTACTTTAGTTATTTTTCAGTTAAGTCACTGCCTGTAAATATCATCCAATGAGAAGCTGAGATATGTTTGTTTTGGGCATGGGTGGGGAATACTTAAGACTGTCAGTCAAACTTGTTTGAGTATTTTCACTTAAAAGGTTATTATAGCAGCTGTTGAATACAGTGCTGAATATTA